AAAAAAATAAGATGTCTGGATAATCAAGTAAACCAAAGTTGCTTCAGTCCAGTTCAACTTGAAATATTATAAAAGTTATGTAAAAGTTATTCTTATGTTAACTTTATAAAACTCCTTAAAGATAATAAGAAACAATTATGCAGTTGTGGATGTGTAGTTTAAGCATACCTGCTTATTATATTTGTAAAAACCATTTTGACTTCACTTGTGGAATGGTTAATATGAGGCCATAAAAGCATGCATAATAATTATAACAAAAAGACTGTTTGCAGGATGTCAACTTTCCAAATAATGATCGAATTTTAATTGTATGCGTGAACTTTTCCTAATAATCAATAGCTGTTATTTTATGACATTTTTCCTTCTGTTTTTTTTTTTTTTCATTCATTGACATTTCGCTGCATTCTCAAATCCCTAAAAGTGTAACTCAAATTGAGTCCGCTGCTATTGATGGACCCACTGCCTGCAGATATGAGGCTCCCAAAGTAAATAAAGGCCCTCTTCATGGCTGTGAGCGCAGGGGGGTTGAGATGCGTGTTAAAGCAGTAATCTATCAGCTCAGATAAGAGCTAGCATTACCGGAGAGCTTCTCTATAGTTTCTGTGCACTTCTTCTGCTAATCGGTGCGGTGCGTGGTCAGGACCCCCTCCTTATCTGTCAGCCGCAGTTGGCAGAGTGTCACACACACTTACGGTGTGAATAGCAGCACTGCGTTTGTGTTTGTGCATGTGTGTTTGTTTATAGTCACAAATGTGATGTGTCATATCTGATGTGAATCAGCAATTGGCTATTAGTGCATTATGTTTTATGCATTAATTGTCTGGAAAATGTGGAATATTTTCAAACAGGCTTTGTGAAATTGCACACCTCCTTTTCAAATGCATTTGAATAGACTGATTGTTGTCATTATTACACTATTTTATATATATATATATAGACAATATATAAGCATGAAAAAATATCAGCATGATTACTTAATCTATAATAACCTAATATATATACAGTGGGTACGGAAAGTATTCAGACCCCCTTAAATTTTTCACTCTTTGTTATATTGCAGCCATTTGCTAAAATCATTTAAGTTAATTTTTTTTCCTCATTAATGTACACACAGCACCCCATATTGACAGAAAAACACAGAATTGTTGACATCTTTGCAGATTTATTAAAAAAGAAAAACTGAAAAATGCTCAGTATTTAGTAGAAGCACCCATTTGATCTAATACAGCCATGAGTCTTTTTGGGAAAGACAACTCAGCATATTAGAATGATTTCTGGAGGATCATGTGACACTGAAGACAGGAGTAATGATGCTGAAAATTCAGCTTTGATCACAGGAATAAATTATATTTTAAAATATATTCAAATAGAAAATAGTAATTTTAAATTGTAATAATATTTCACAATATTATTGTTTACTGTACATTTTATCAAGGAATTACAACACATTAATAAAAAAAACATAAAAAAATCTTACCGACCACAAACATTTGAATTGTATTGTACTGTATATAAAATATTATATATTGTAATATTATACAGTATAACTAAATAATTATATAATTTAATTATACCTATATAATTATATATTACATAACTACATAATTATTAGTGCTGTCAAACGATTAATCGTGATTAATCGCATCCAAAATAAAAGTTTTTGTTTACATAATATATGTATGTGCACTGTGTATATTTATTATGTATATATAAAGACATGTATATATTTCAGAAAAATATGATATGTTTATATATTAAATATATTTATTTATAATATAAATGATATGAATATAAATATAGACATGTAAATATTTTCAAAACATATACTGTATGTGTGTGCTTTTATATATACATAATAAATATACACAAAACACACACATATATTACGCAAACAAAACGTTTATTTTGTATGCGATTAATCGTTTGACAGGATAATTATATTAATTTAATTGTAACTATATAATTATATATTATAACTACATACTTATAATTATAATAATTACATAGTATAATACGCTTAGTGGTCAACCAATGTGGCTTTTTCAACACTTAGAGAGAATGGTAGCTGCTGGCATATATACATAATGGAAAAAGTATGTGAACCCATGGAATTTCATTTTGCCTCACTTCCCAGTTCAGTCAATGGCAGACAGTATGAAGATACTCCTGCCTCCAGGAAACTGGTTTCTGACATCATGTCTGTTGATCTAGATCAAATTCAAATGATCTTTAGGCAGAACCAAGCAAATATTCACAGTAGAAATGGAATCTTAAGTTAAAAAAGGACATTTGACTGCATGCACAGGGCACTCGGCACACCTCAGATTGAAACCTTTTGACTTGCGAGCTGAAAAGGGGTTACGCAATCATCATCTCTGAATGGTGTTCACCAACACACAGTCTTTAAATGGAGAAAGTGCAGCGCTGTGGGTGTCCAGCAAAGAGGAAGCCACTGTTGTCCCAAAAAAACATTGCTGCACGTCAAAAATGTGCAAAAAGTCACCTGGACCGCTTCCTGTCATGGAGGGAAAAATTAATTCCCAAGTTTATAAGATTCAGACCATTTAGCAGGAGACTGAAAGCCATCTGTCTGTCAGCTGAAACTCAATAGAAGTCGGTAAAATACTGCAGAACTGAAACCGTTTGGTTTAGAAGAAGAGGTTATTGCTGCCAAAGTAAGGCCAATTGGGTTCACATACTTTTTCCACTCGCACTGTGCTTTATAAAGAAATGAAGTAGTTTGTATTGTTATTTGCTTGAGCAGACTGTGTTTGTCTATTCCTGATGAGTTGTTTGAGAATGAGATCAAATTTACATGGTAAATCCAAGGGTTCAAATACTTTTCCTTGCAGCTGGATGAAATATAATCTAATGATTGCAAATAATATGCACACAAATTGCTGAATTTAAATGTAATTTTAATCACCTTTGCGGGTTTTGTGCATAATATTTACTCACTACTCACGCTGTTGGTAGATTTTTGCAACTGAATAGGTGAAAATAACCACTTTCATAATATCTATAAATTAGCATATTAATATGATTTTGGAAGGATTATGTGACTGAAGACTGCAGTAATGGCTACTGAAAATTCAGCTTTGCATCGCAAGAATAAACTGCATTATAAAATATATTCAAATAGAAAACAGTTATTTTAAATTGTAATAATTCTCAGTATTAAATTTTTTTACTGTATTGTTGATGAATAAACAAACACATTGAATAAAAAAAGACTGACCACTTATTGACCACAAACTTTTGAATGGTAGTGTATATAATTACAGTATAATATATAATAAAATACTATATTATATATTGTATTATAAATTATAGTATATATATTTTTTTTCATTTTTTGCATATATACTGTATATATATATATATATATATATATATAATAAATACAACATGTTAGTAGGTAAAAATTTAAAATTAAATTAAATTTTTAATTGTTTTAGATACAAAAGAATAGCAACTTATTATATTGCAAATGTATAGCATGCAATTTGTCGCTCTTACAGTAAAGCTACTTATCACAGCGTCACACACATCTATTATCAATCCTATAAGCACATCATATGACAGGCTGCACCTGCTGTGCACAAGTTTTTATATTCCAGAGGGCATGTTTACTGTCTGCCTTTCATCTAGAATAATGTCTTTGACACGGCGTGCGCTTTGTTCATTAGAGATGTGTACACTGTGTTTTGTAGGTAGCGGAGCCACAGCAGTCGTCCAGGCAGCGCTTTGTAGCCCTCGACAGGAGCGTGTGGCCATCAAGAGAATCAACCTGGAGAAATGCCAGACCAGCATGGATGAGCTGTTGGTGAGGAACAACATAAAAACAGCTGTGTCTACTCACGCAGGTTCTGCCATACACATGCATATGCATGAAAACGCGCGCGCACACACACACACACACACACATTATATGGAAATGCAAATAGTTATAGGTAAATTGCAATCTGTTTTTTGAGCACCCTGACTGGGCTGGGAAGACATTGGACAGACATCTTTTGGCTCCATTTTACCCATTCATTTTCATTATAGCCATTTCACAATAATCTTAAAGTAGTAGTAGTAGTTCACCCAAAAATGAACTGTGAACAGAGATGTAGATGAGTTTGTTTCTTCATCCAAAGAGACTTGGAGAAATGTAACATTACATCACTTGCTCACCAATGGATCCTCTGCAGTGAATGGGTGCCGTCAGAATGAGAGTCCAAACAGCTGATAAAAACATCACAATAATCCACAAGTAATTCACACCACTCCAGTCCATCAGTTAATGTCTCGGTACTTGATCTGTGCAGATTTCTCTCCTGATTCAGACAAGATGACTTTTTCACTGGAGAAAGCAATATTATGGATAGAGGATATTTGTTTCTTGCAAACACGCAGCTTTTCGCTTCTCAAGACATTTATTGGTGGACTGTGGTGTGGCTTGCTTGTGGATTATTGTTTTTATCAGCTGTTTGGACGCTCATTCTGACGGCACCCATTCACTGCAGAGGATCCATTGGTGAGCAAGTGATGTAATGCTACATTTCTCTAAAAGTTTAGATTAAGTTGTATTTTTTTAAGAAATTAGTGTCTTTTCATCTGCAATTATGCATTAAATTAATTAAAAATAAATGTCAAAAATGTTACAAATGATATCTATTTTAAATAAAGTATGTTTTTTGAATTTTCTATTCATCAAAGATTCCTGGAAAAACTGTATTATGGTTTCCACCAAAACATTTAGCAGCAACAAAATGTTTATTGAGCAGCAAGTCAGCAAGAATGATTTCTGATGACTGGAGTAATGATGCTGAAAATTCAGCTTTATCACAGGAGTAAATTACATAAAAAAAAAACATTCACATAGAAAACAGCTATTTGAAATGGTAAGAATAATTCACAATATTAGTGTTTTTACTGTAAATTTTTTTACAGTGTTTACTAGTGTTTTTCTTCAAATAAATGCAGCCTTGGTGAACAATAAGAGACTTCTTTCAAAAACATGTTTAAAAAAAAAAAATCAAATGTATATAAATTAAAAAATTGGTCGATTCTCTTGTCATTCCCAATGCTGCATGGGGTTGGATGATTGCCATCCCCAACTCTTGCTGCAAAGTCTTATATAAGTAAATTAATAAATGTGACCCTGGGGCACAAAAGCAGTCTTAAGTCGCTGGGGTATATTTGTAGCAATAGCCAACAATACATTGTATGGGTCAAAATTATCATTTTTTTTTTATGCCAAAAATCATTAGGATATTAAGTAAAGATCCTGTTCCATGAATATATTTTGTAAATTTCCTACCGTAAATACATTTGGACAACTTTAAAGGCGATTTTCTCAATATTTTGATTTTTTTTGCACCCTCAGATTCCAGATTTTCAAATAGTTGTATCTTGGCCAAATATTGTCCTATCCTAACAAACCATACATCAATGGAAAGCTTATTTATGCAGCTTTCAGATGATGTATAAATCTCAATTTCAAAAAATTAACCCCTATGACTGGTTTTGTGCTCCAGGGTCACAAATAATTTTAAATAATTTCAACAATCAATTTGAAACCATCCTGATTTAATGCTTCTATAAAAGCATATAACATTGTTTAATCTTAAAACGTTTTTTTTTTTAATTTGTGAAAATGATTATAGAGAAAATGATTTTCCTCAACAAACACTTCACATTTAATGATTGAATGAATAAATGACTTCTTAATGTGCATGTGTAAGTGTCTCAGAAGTCAATAAATCATTAATCACAATTATCTGTGTGATAATGAATCATTAGCCAACACTTACAGTTTCGACTGCCCTAGTTTTTCAAAAATGTGTTTCATATCTGTCAGAGACACACATGCTTCATGCTTCTCTCATAGAGCGCACTTTCCCTACTGTAATCATTCACACACACACACACACACACACACACACCCAGCAGGCCTCTCACTCCGACACTCACGACTTAGTTGTTTTCCATTGATCTTTGTTTTGGTGCAGAGAGATTGGAAACTGATGGTTTGATTAATGACTGTTCTGTCACAAAAACAAGTTATAAAGTTGTGCTATAAACATCTCCCAGATTTACTCTCACAGAAATATGACACGGAGATATGGTTTGTGTAAAATTATGCTGAACCCAGACAGCACATATGTAATGTACTTTTTCAATTTTCTTTAAAAAAAAGAAATTTTCTAATTTTTTCAATTTTATTAAAGCCTTATATTATTGGAATATGTGAAATGACTTCATCAGTTGTATGTAGACTTACTTCAGCTAAACAGGTTTTACTGCACATGTTCATATGCATGAATTCTGCTCTGAAATAAACTGAAAAACAGCATCACTATTGAAGCTTTGATTGCCGCTGCAGATTTCAAGGATAAGAATTTGTTTGTCTGTTTCCTCATTAGTATTCCTTCTAAGTATAAAAATTGCTGTATATTGCCATATTTATAATAATTATGTTTGCTCTTTTTTTTCTTTTCAATCAAATGAACTGCACTGTAAAAAAAATTCCTTAAAATTTACGGTAAAAAAACGGCAGCTGTGGTTGCCGGAATTTTACCGTAAAAATACGGTAACAACGTTTTAGGTTTTACGGTTTTAATTTAAATTTAC